GATGCTAAGACCAAGGTTGAACCTGAAAGATAGAGTGGAAGCAAGATGGATGAATCAACTGAATGTCAGCAAGGAGGAATTAAGAAACATCAAATGGTTCAGAACGATAAAGAGCAAGCCGACAAATGTTGCCTCACTACAACGGCAGATAGATCACCGATGCCTCCCAACTAATGATTGGATCATCAATAGATTGACTCTGGACCAGAGAGGGGTTGCTTTACCTTGGTGTAAATTGTGCTACTCAACCTTTCCGGCTAGGAAGATTCCGGAAACCATTGAACACATCTTCCTGCAATGTCCAGGTGCAGTCTGGCTGTGGCGGTGGTGGGATAGGATCTGGTCCAATATTAACCCTTCTCACACCTGGTCGTGGAAGTGGAAAACACTTTTGTGTGAAACCTGGTCCCCGAAGCAGTTTGATGAATTTTCTCACAATTTATTTGTAATTGGAAGACTAGCAATTCTTTGGGCCCTATGGAGGCGCAGATGCACTTTTGAAATGGAGGGAGCAAGGTTGGAAGGCCCAGAATTTACAGATTCAATCAAAATGCAAGTGCAGACAGCCATCTCAGCTCAATGGGATAAACTAAAAGAAAAGATTAATTTTCTATCATCAGAAAAAGAAATCCAACAACATATAAAACAGTTCAGTGGCGCATGGCTTGGGGGGTCTCGAGGGGGTAAGATAGGGGAGATTAAAAGGACCAGAAAAAGGGGAGAAAGCCTGGATGGACAAAAAAGAGAAGTTCAGAAGGACTTCTGTCTCATTTTTCATGAGTGGACAAATGTAGATCCCGCTGTACCCCCGCTGTACCCCTTCGTCCCCTTTCAGAATTCCATGATCCCTTCCCTCCCTCCTCTTTAAGCCTGGTTCCTCTGAGCTGGTATGGTCGTGAGCAGGAAGACATGGATTGAAAGTCCGGTTTCTGGAATACTTTCAGGATCTACAGTACAGCAGAACTTCCTACAAATTTCTCTCTATTTTCTTCAAAAGGTGAGAGAGGTAGTACTGCTAGCAACATCAAGGTTATCTGGCGGCCAATTTACGGCTGCAGAGGCAGCTCCTACTGTTCTCAACAACTTTATCTTATATCAGCATCAATTGTACGAGGGACGCTGGACCCGTTTTCCAGCAGGTGTAGCTCCCCACCAATAGACGGAGCCTCCTCGACAGTGCTAGCGGTGCCTGCTCTGATCAGCACCTCTAGCAACCGATCGGGTTGTCTGTTAAAAAAA